GAAAGGGCTGCTCACTAATTTATTATATGTATTGATACCCACATACATAAATGCACGCGTGCACATAGACACATATGCATATGCACAAGCGCACACACACACACGTGTGCATGCCACGAGTCCCTTTTCAGACAAAAACCGAAATGGATCATCCATTTCGGTTTTTGTCTGAAGAGGGAGTCGTGAAGAGTTCGAAACGTCACGCTTATTTTCAATTCTCATTGTGGCTAATTTCATTTTCATTTTTGCGTACACGATATTGTATTTGTGCTTGTGTTCATATATATATATATATATATATATATATATATATATATATATATATATATATATATAATATTTTAATATGTTATATGTGTGTGTGTGTGTGCATATATGTATATGTATATATATTATATATTATATATATATATTATATATATATATATATATATATATGTATGTATGTATGTATGTATATTACATATATGTGTTAGTGTGTAAACTTATATTTACGTATATATATATTATATATATATATATATATATATATATATATATATATATATATATATATATATATATCATACAGTTAAATAGATAAAAAGATGGATAGATAGATATAGATAATCATAGACAGATATATAATATATATATATATATATATATTATATATATATATATATATATATGCACATGATACATACACATACATGAACATAATGCACATGAAAAAAACATATATTCGAGAAAGTGTTCGCTTAATTTCGGGTTACACCAAAATTGTATGCATTTAAATATTAATTTCTTCAGAAAACGTATATAACCATATAGATATTTTTGTTCAGATTAGATTGCAAATGACATTCAGCTCAACTAAAAGATAATGATAAAAAGAAAACAATAATGGAAATGATGACAAAGGCACAGCCACACATCATCAGTTATGATAACGATGATAAGAGTAATAATATCTATTTCAATAACTTCCATGGGAACTTAAAACAAAGGGTAATAAAGCAATAACTATGATGATAATGATCGTAATAAAAATAACAATAATGTGATAATTATGATAATAACGGTGTCAATGCTTCTACCAATATTACTATTATTACTACTATTGATGACAACGATAACAACAACAAGATCAACAAAAAAAAAGTATAATAATGGTATTTTCAAACCTACCAAATACACAGAGATAGTACCAAGAGGAACTGGGCATACCAGAAGCATGTTTTAATGAAGAGCAATGACAATAGAACTATTTGCACTTGGACCTGAGGAACCTAGACTTTTTTACTGTAATATCATGAATGGTTAGTTCAGCATGACAGTAATGAAAATAATGATTATGCTAGCAATGATAATAACGACAACCTTTTGGTAAAAAAGGTGAAGGTCTCGACTCTTAAGATGTATGATTAAAAAATTCAACCCAACATATTCGCAAAAAGATAAAGAAAGAAATCCTGACAAGCCTGTTATTTGTCGCAAGGTCTGTGAGACCCTTGGTAATGTTCTTGATGTGGCTCTCAGGAACAAAACAAAAGTCTTCGGACTATATATATCCATGGCAGAATGGGATGCAATCAAATAGTGCGATCAAAAAGAAGTAGATAGTAACAAAACAAACAAACAAACAAAAAGTGACTGTCATATCTTAAATAGTATATACCTAAAAAAAAAAAAAAAAAAAAAAAACTTATTTTATTGACTGCGAAAGGATTTAATATGAACAGTCCTTTTCTTTATGTATCTAGAAGAAAAATCGAAATGTATATAAAGATTATAAAACATATAATTTTAGATTATAATAATCACTAAACTTGAATAACCATGTATTTCTTTTTTGCCTTTCCTTAATCATGTATTTTTTGTGCACGTCACAACACTAGCTGGTCCTGCCTGGCCATGCCTGTTTTGGCCAATAAACAAATATGTACGTGTTGATATCTCTTTTGATAATTTTCATAACATTCCTCTTTTAGTTCATTTACTGCAGCTGATAAGTAATACACCGCATATATATTTCATTTTAATAATCAAAATACATGTAGACATAAATTAGTCCAACTAATCTATATAAGGTACATATTTATGCAATTCCAATACCTATGCAGGTAATTTCTTAAGCAGAGAGTAAAGGCTGAAATTTAAGAAGACAGAATGTAACACTAGGAAGGCCTGCCTATTTACAGTGTCAGAATGGTCAGAAGAGGAAAGATCCGTTAATAAGAATATTGGTCTAGAAAGAGGAACCGTAGGAGTTGGAAGGAGCTGCTGGCGCGCCATATTGGTTGCCGTTGTTGCCTCCGTTGCCGTTTCTTCCGTTGCCGTTTCTTCCGTTACCGTTGCCATTCCTTCCATTGCCATTAAGGGAGAGGCCGTTGGTGGCGGCAGCATAAGCATAGCCAGCATTGGGAACGACTCCGATGAGCTCGTTGACGGAGTAGAAGCTCTCAGCTTGAGAACAGTCCACGTTGAACCACCAGTCACATACCAGGTACTGCTGGTT